CGAGCGGCGGGCGGCGCGGCGATGGGGGTGGGGGCGGCCGCGGTGACCGTCCGCCCGCCCGATGACCAACGCACCGCGCATCTAGGTACGCGCGGAGGTTAGGGGCGGCGGCGGCGGCGGCACGACCCTCTGACGGCGGCCGGACGTACTACCCGCGCCGGCCGAGGCGGATTCCCGTACACTCGGTCGCTCCGTCTCGCTCTCACGCACGCCGTTACGACGCGTAAATACATACATATACATGTACACACACAATACGTACGATGTACGCATAATATATATTAGAACGGAGGGGAGAAGTGTGTGAGTGTGTGTGCGCGCGCACGTACGCTGGGCCGTCGGTGTGCGAGTGTGCGTGTGTATGTGCCAGTGTATGTGTGTGTGCATATCTGAGAACCCCACACACACACACACACACACACACACACACGCAGGCGGGTATATAGCGTCCGAAAATGCGAATAGCTTCCGAGAATAATATTCATCCCCCCCGGCACGCCGCTGCCGTCACCGACCGTCCCGTCCGCGCACACCCCCGTCGTCGCACCACCCGCTCAAAGCCTTTATGTATATACAGTTCGCATATATATATATGTACATATACATACATATTATACATATATATATATATATGTATGTATATATGTATGTATGTATGTATAATATGTCGTTTCTACTCGCGCTGACCGCCACCGCCGCCGCCGCCTTCTCATCCGCCTCCACCGCCTTCGACGGCGACGGCGACCGTGCGTGGTCTCTTGCGCGACAACGCCGCAATATACGCGCGCGCATAATATAATGTATTCCGTGTATTAATTCGGTTCAATCAATGGCCAGCCGCCTCAGCAGCACAGGCGTGCGTGTGCGCGGGTGTGTGCGTGTGTGCGTGTGTGTGTGTGTGTGTGTGTGTCCGTCCGTCCGTCGCTTAATATAATAATATTACGCGGACGGCCACCCTTCCCGACCACCCTCTTCGGGCCGCGCAACCCCTAAAGTCCGAGCGGCGGAGGAGGCGGTATTTTTTTTTTATTTTTATATATTTTTTTTTTTAAATCTCTGTATCGATCGCGTATATTATAATGTAGTGTGTACGACGGCGGCGGCGGCGGCGGCGACGTATATGCAAAACGGACACGGACCGACCGGACTGCCACCACGACGACGACGGCGGCGGAGGCGAAACCCTCTGTTCCCGGGACGGTCGTGGCTTCGAGGACCCGCAAACCAAATATTATATGAATACAATCGTTTCGTCGCGTGTAAAACGTGTATCGTAAATTCGTTACGCCGTCGCTATTGTTGTTACTATTATTTATTAGTATGATAATATGTATTTTGAAGTAACCGTTCAAAGAGTAAAAGTTTTTGCGGTTCGCACTCCGAGAAACTTCGTGCGAATTCCATGTATGCCGTGAATCCGCGAGTGCGTTTCGAGCGCAGTTTTTGTCAAATACGTTGAAATGTGTGTGTGTGAGTGTGTGTGCGTGTGTATATCAAATATTATATAACCGTCCAACTCGAAATCCCGCGTTAACAAACGATCTTTTCGCCGGCATGCCTGCACCTTGAAGCCACTCACACTATATAGGGGTGTTCAGACTTATATAGTCTTGGAATTCGAGGAACGTCAAGGAGAAAAAAAAAATGCCCCACATCTCGTTGATCTTTTAATGATTGTCGTTACACCTAATAATATAATAATGTATATAACTATAAGTCACGGACGGACAAACATGTGTGTACGCAGATGATCACACTTTGGGCGGATGGACGCGTATGGTTGCAATGAGTGAGGTACACACGAGTAGTTACGCGGAACCGCCTCGTGGCGTGTGTCTGTGATGTTTCATCGGCGATGTTTTTACGTAGAAAAAATCAACGAAAACATGACTGCTCAGTGCACTGTAATACAACATAATTGACTAAAATACGATGGACGACCGAACTAAAGCATATATATTATATAACATTGTTTTATGTCGTTAATTGTTGTACATAGAAAGTCAAAATAATTGTCTCCTTGTATCTACTAGCTATAATCATATCGTTAATATAATCGATGAAATTGGCTTTTGAAATTGTCAATAGTCAATTCCAACAACTTATTTTTACTCTCGTGCAGATGAGTACAAATAATTACAAATAAAAGGAATAAAAAATTTTAAAAAATGTATTGCATATTCGGTTGCTCTAATAATGATTGAATTGATTGAATTCGGAGGTCGGCACTCGGCGTAGTCCGCGGAAAAGTCTAAATAGTAAATAGGTACTATTAATAACCGAGATTCGTGCTCTCAATCGGTATCTCAGAATAGCGGTTTATCGGCAGATGTACATCGGACCTTGGACAGGTAGATTATCCTTAAGTCTCAGTTTCCGATCATTGGCATTCTGCGGCAATAATAGTTTTATATTGTATTGTTTTTTCATCGTAAAACATTATATATTTGAAGAATTTTCACTGTAGTTGTTTGTTGTATAGGTATTGTGGTAACTGGCATTCTTTGGTGTTGTAGTAATATAATACAAATAGCACCTATTTATCTCGTGATTTCAATAATATTAATATATAGTGCAAGCTATTATACGAGTCACAATAAATACATTAAAACATAATATTGTATCATGTAAATTTTCACTTAGCGTTTTTTCCAGCTTTAGCTGATTTGAGAGAGTCGCAGTATTGGTAGTTGGTCTACTTATACATACTTACACCTCTCGCCGACCTACCGTCACCTCCAATATAATAATCGCCTAAATGACGACTGAGGCACATGATGTTGACGCGAGCATAAGGCCATGTACGATTTTTATTATTATTGTTATAATATTAGTACCTATTATACTTTTATACATCACAGGACGTATACGACATATTTAACGAGTAATTTCTTTATCCTTCTTTTGCCGTTTATCAGCAGATACATGTGCAAATGATACAAATGCATACCAGTACTACACCCATATGATATCAATTATACATAAAGTACAAGTGTCAGTGACAAGGTTTGATTAGTCGAATAATCGTATCCAAGTTTATACTATACATCATAGTAATGATTGTCATATTATACTACAGGTACACCCGTAACAATAATTGTAATATAATATTATGATGTTATTATCATTGTTATGATATTATATGAAATGCCTAAATTGAGAAAACATTTCGAGGGGGGTGCAAAAGTGTGGAAAAAAATTCCTGAATTTCTTTTTGACCTGATGGTATGTATAGGATATAACAGTTAGAATGGGTACGCTTCAGTATTTTTTTTTTTTAAAGAAGAGGAACTCCGTCCTGGAGCCCGGCGCGGCGTCCCCCGGCGCAATTCAATCACTGAAATAACAAAGTGTGATTAATACTTATATTAACGTTTTGATAAACGACGAGTACGAGATTGATAATGTTTTACATACATACTATACGTCATTAAAATAATATTTTACAGATCGAGACGATTCTGCACGGTTATACCGCGAAGACGCGTTAAGTGCCCGCGTTTGCATGACGTGTGATATTATTAGGTCGTATCCTCGTCGGATAAATACGTTTTAATTGCGAAGGCAAGGGCCGGGGGGGGGGGAATGAGAAAAGGCCGTTCTACTTACTTTTGCAAAGTATATAGACCGCCGAAATTTTAAGTAATGCCCATCGGCGTCGGCAACAGAGCAGAGGAGCGTCGTATAGCCCACCTATATATATATATTATATATATATATATATATACATATACGACGACGAGAACCGTTCGTAAATCGATAGCGGCCATACGCATAATATAATTCTGCGGCCGCCCTTCTCTTCCTCCTCTTTGCACAGCTATCCGCCGACGCCGTCCATCGTCCATCGTCGGCGGCACGAGTTTGATATTTTTTTTTTCTCGCCGTCTCCTGCTCTGGAGACAACACAGCGCAATGCATAATAATGTTACAATATTTGAAATGACGAGGACGATGACAGGCCGAGGATCTGGGAATCCGAAATTGGAGGGAAAACTTTTTTTCCGGAAAAATACCTTTTATAGATAATGCATATTTATGTTACATATATTTTTAATATTTATAAGCTTTAATAGACGCGTGAACTATTTATTATATACCTACTATAAATTAATACATGATAATATATACAACCTGTCCATGGCGGGCAGGGACTAAGGATGACCCTTGGTTCTTATAGCTACCCCCCCCCCCCTCATCTGTAAGTTGTAACCGAGCCTTAACTATGATAATAACAATCCCTATTTCCGACGAATCTCCATCCGCACGCGATGTATGATATACTAAAAATCGTGGAAAAAATATACCAACGGAAAAAAACCCACCGACAAAAATTTACAAATCATGACATGATATTATAATGCAATTTTCCATTTCGTCGACCATATAATATTATATCGGTTTCGATTATTTGATGAGCTCAACGTTTCTTTAGTGTTCTTATGTTTTGTTTCTTTCTCATTGGTCAAGTCGAATCTTACGTGAGATGGGAGGATTACAACAATAATGTCAATTATTATTATCGACCGCGCACACTTCGCTCGAACTGCAGTCAAAATGTCAAATGTCTTTTTT